GAGTTCTTTGTACGTGCATGAGTTCTTTGTATGTGCATGTGTGGATACCATGTGAATTCAATTGTCATTATACTAAGCTATGATGATGTTATTACAAGGTTTTTAATCACATGGTATCTTATCACAAGTCTTCACTGTAACTAACAACAATAATCTGATAAATCCTACATGGGTATCAATTACAAGTACGCTGACGTATTACGATCACCCTTTCATTTACAGCACCAAGTACTTTTTGGTTGTTGATGACAGTAATTTAAAATCTCAATCGACTTGTCAGACTATACCTAGAAGTTAGAGCAAGTTAGTGATGGCAAACCGATAGTGAATTTGAAAAAAAAACCTGGCGGCAATTAAAAGTTTGAGTTTAGAATTTTGTCAAACACAAAAATGAAAATAACTGATATGACTGGCATTTTTATAGTCATCCTATTTAGATATTTGTTAATTACAAAAAAAGTAAAAGATTTATTAACAAGTAGCTTGGCAGTTGAAACAGTTTTGCTTGTTTTGTGGCAAAATATAAGATAGAGAGGAAGGAAAATTTATGATACATGTATCTGGCAAAATGGTCAAAAATTCAAACAAATTCAGATAAAAAAATTTATAAATATAAATTACTAAGTGAGAATCAACCAAAGTACCCCGATAGTTGTCTGGTAAATTAGGAAGCAATATAGATGAAAGTTTTAGAGAAGAAGTTGGAAATGTCAGTAGTTTTAAAGTAGACCACAATATTTGAAAATCAAATATTAATAGTGATGAATAATAATTGTTAAAATACAAGTATATGATGAATTAAGATACTTGTTAAAGCAATTGGGTATACATTTTTTGAAAAAATATCAGTTTGGACAAAAAATATAAGATGGGCGGGAACTTACTTTAAATGCCAATTGTAGTCTGGTGACACTCTTTCCATAACATTGAACCAGGCACCAGGAGTACTGCAAATTGGTCTATTCCAGCAATCACGCACACGTCGGTAAAGATTTTGGTTGTAAAAGCTTTCAAAATCGCAATACAAAGGAACAAAACCCTGCCATGTGAATTTAATAAGAACAAGTTAGTTACGCATTTACTGAAAATATGCTTTGAATAATAAATGCGGCTTTTGTTTTGTCTGCAATGGCCTAAAAAACGTCATTTCACTTTCAACGACTACCAAACATTCACTGATCTATTTATGCTAATATTTTCCCATACCATTGTGTCTTTATGTGTGTACTTCTAATGTTCAAATATCTATTTATAGCCTCTTTTCTATTTTTACTCCTATTGTGAAATCATATACAATAATTATAGCAGTTTTGAAATTTTGCAATTATAATATTTATATAAATACATCATTGAAAAATGTACTACTTTTCAGCATTTTCATTTTACAGACTCGTGTCCACAGCTTTATGACAGCTATTATAATGCACAGTCCTATATATATATATATATACATACATACCAACCTGCATGTTTATTGTCCTACTAAATCTATTATGTCCAGGTACACAAATCATAACAAAGTATTCAAATGCAAATCACACTGTATACCTTGTTTCCCTTTTCCCTTGTGACTTCATTTTTATCCACACCTATCTTTCGCAAGAACTCCCTTAAATGCCCCACCACTACAAGTAATGCGTATGAAAGGCAGGTAAAAACAGCACGTATCATTGGAACTTCTTCAAAGAACTGCTTTGCTTTTCTTCGTGTATATTTGAACTAATGATGTATAAGGAAATAATAAATCTATAAGTGAGGGTTAATATACAACAAATCAAAATCTCATAAGGTGCAATTTTTTTTCTGAAGGATAACACCTAATGCACGCCACCTAAATATTGTGTGAAGGAAAAATAAATACAAGTCATTCAAGCTTTAGCAGTACCGCCACCACCCCATCCCCAACCCCCAAAGTGTTTAAAGGGCGGCAGTCGTCGTGCTGCGTCCTGTTCGATGTGGGACTCGTAGCGACGTATGCAACGCGTGTAAAATACATTGTTTATTTACATGAAATTCAAATTTCTTAAATAATACTCACAGTAAAAAAATAAATAACAAACAAAAGATTAGTGCCAGCTACGAGATAAAAATGGTTTTAGTAAGTGAAACCAGAGTATGTTCTAATGACCCACTTTATTGATCAACCTGTATTCGAAGGTATGTGTTCAACTCCGCACGTCTTCACATCCACGCAATAGCAGAAGACGTTACAACGACCGCCTGTGTGTAGGCCAATAACCGGGCAATAACCTCGATATTTTGAACAACTGTGAACTATTTACTAGTAACCAGTAGCTATTAAAACCATTGCATATTTCTTTCCCTTGCAGCATTTGTAACTCGCTCACCCCTGTCCGGTCACACCACCCATGGCATGCCCGGCGAGGTTCTGGGTGAGGCGATGTATGGTCACACCCAGGGTGCACACCCGATCATACCGACCAATGGGATTTGATAAAATAAAAATACAATTTTATCGGTAAGGCAACAAGTGGTTTATAATATATTAGCGTATTTAAGCTGTGTGTGAAAATTAGTGCGACCTGTGCGATACTACACTACGGCACAGTGCCACTTGTAAACAACTCTGCACGCAGGTACTTACACCTTGTGTCGTGGAATCCATACGACGGTAAACACACAGAATGTCTGCGAAAAATTCTTGAAATTGACTTACCTCGGCAAATCCTCCTTGTTTCACGTAACCATTCCGCTTATCGTTTGCGGCAGCTTTGTCGACACAACGTCTTCGTTTTTTCTCATTGCCATTCTCATTTTGCGTAACGTGCATGTCGAAAGCCATTTCTGTTTCTGTTTATTTATCGAACAAGTCGTGTACTGGCAAGCTGGGTTACCCGCGTAGGACTCGACTATATGACATATAGGGGTAGTATGCGTGATAACTATAGGGGTACTTTGAAAGGGAAGCCGGGGTGATTAAATACGAAATGAAAGCTCAATAGTAGTGTGTGCAGATTTAATATTTACATGTAAAGCTGAACGGAATGTTTGGAAATATAACAGTACAAAAAATTAACCTTCGAGCTCTGTGACGGAAGAGTGGATGAAAAAGATGATAGCAGACGAATTTCTCGCTCATGCAAATCATCCTGTGAACTTGAGGGACGGTGACTCGGGTAACGTGTTATTGAACTGACAGATATTCAGACTTACCTTTGGCAACCTTTAATTACAAATTATAAAAAGCCCGTTTCATGTCAAAAGATAAAGATTATTCCCAAAATGGTAGTTACCCGCCCTGATGCATGTACATAATTTCGCTGAAACTATTAACGAGTTTGGTGAGATCCAGGTTACGTCACCCCACGCAAAAATGAAAGCAATGGTAATGGTCACCATTTCACAGAATATGATACCAGTTCCCTACTTTCACTTGCTGTTCACTTTCCTGCGCCCGTTCAAATTAGCATACCCTGTATGTGTCATTCAACATTTTAAAAGGTGGCGCTTTATTGACAACCGTTATTTACATTTAACGGATTTTTATTTCGCCCGACGGTTTTTCTAACCTTGTTTTTATCTCTCATCATCGACGTACTAGTACGTCCATCACAACCTCATACTAGTACGAGAGCAATACTAGTATACATTTCCTAATTGGTGTAGATAGGATATGTTTTCGCCCGGGGGGTAAATAAACACTCACAAATGCAGGACCAGCGAGAAAATGATTGCAGATTGATGTAAACAGAATGCATGTGTAGTCATGCACCTCGTATCTGATATTTTTTCCCAAAAATTGGTAAAGTTTACTTTTTGCCCACAGAATAAAGCGTGCTATTCAATGACAAAGCTATGAGAATGCAGTTTAGTCGCCGTCGATTAATTTATACAACATTGCCTGAAAAATAGGGCCACTGACAAAAACAAACGTGTAAAATTTGTCAAAACCACGAACAACTTATTCTGCTTCCACATGAGAATCGTGTGATCAAGTTTATTATTCAAAGCTTTATTCAGTGTTTAGTGATATTTTCTTTAAAAAAAACGTCCAGAAAATAAATTCTGTATATTAACACATCGTACTGTATAATTTCTCTTTGGCAGTTACCTTTACTGGATGCCAGAAACGAAATGCAACATTTACTTCGCATATGTGACAATTCTGGCGATATTCGTGTCATAATCCCGTTAGGTAGTGACGATAGTGAGGTTGTGATGGTAAACATAATGCAAATTTACATAGCAACCAACAAACTGACGCAACTCTTGGTATGTTTGACATGTTTAGTTAGTACCAGAGGTACATTAAGTAATGTACCTCTGTTAGTACCCATTGTAACCTTATACTTCTATATAGTATATTGTAACTCAGTCAATGTATACTCTCGGCGCAACAAAGGTATTCCCTTTATTTTTATAAATATTTATTAATTTCACAATTCAACCTGAAATTGAAACGAGAGATTTCTATTGGCCAATTGAATAACATTGGAAGGTTTTCAAATGAAATAAACCTTTAATATAGCTCATAGGTACTTGCATTGTGAAATTCACACTGACACATCGGCGCGTTAAAATTCCATGCGTGTTCCATGTGCATTATTTTACATGCGTTGTAAACGTTGTATGTTGCCCAAGTCGAACCCACCTGAGTCGAACCCAACGCGTCGCGACGACCGCCCTCTTTAGATATTTTTGGCGAGTCCCAAGAATTTTGGAATGACGGTTATAGCAATGATGAATACAGCCAAATTCAACTAACAGATTGACGAGACACCATATATCTTGGTCAACCATTTTCATCCCTTATTGCGACTGCGTGAGATATTATGGTAGCGATATTTCCAAATATAAGCCTCAATTTCATCAAGAACAGTCAATTGAGAAAGCTGTGAAACTCCAATTTCAAGAATTCGGTTAAAACACTGAACATTTACAAATGTATTCTAAAACTCATATTATTCAAGTTGCTAATTCGGCCATTCACTCCAGTATCCATCGAACAATGTATAATCCGATTACTCGCCCACCCCGACCCATGTCAAACATGCAAGCCATCTAAGCTCGAATTGTGTTTTTAAACAAGCAGCCTGTCGGCTGAGATAGCTCCGCTGTTAGCAATGCACTTTGCAATTAAAGAACAGAAGATATCATTAGAAAATGAACAATAAGTATAGTATCAAAGCAATCGGACTTGCTGTTTTCAACAAGAATTCAAAAATATCATTTTTCACCAAAAATGACAAAAATATTCATCAAAATTAGATAATTGAAGATATCACCACGAAATAAACAAATCTGAGAGAAGTCCACATGTAGTACCTAAATGTATAATATCAAAGCAATTGGATTTACGGTTTTCAACAAGAAATCGAAAATATCACTTTTTAGCAAAAATGACTAAAATATTCACTAAAATTAGAGAATTACAGATATCATCACAAAATCCACAAATCTAAGAGAGATCCACATGTAGTACCTATATATGTAATATCAAAGCAATTGGACTTGCGGTTTTTAAGAAATCGAAAATATCACTTTTTACCTAAAATGACAAAAATATTCACTAAAATTAGAGAATTGAAGACATCATGAAATGAACAAACCTAAGAGAGATCTACCCAAGGTACATATACACCAAGTATCAAAGCATTCTGGCTCGTAGTTTTCAAGAAGAAGTCAAAAAAATAAAACATTGACACGGACGCGGACGACGGACGCCGGCGGACAATCACTCATATGATAAGCTCCGCTCGACAAAGTCGACACCGTGCACTGTATAATTCTGTTGTTACGTTCAGACGCGCGTTTCTGGGAAGTAAATGAGTGAAAGGAGCTTTCCTTCGCTCCATACGCATACATGTAGAAAAATCAACGGCAAAACACTTGAGACAACAATCAATTCGTCATTCGACAGTTTTTTTAGGGTTACTAGATTAATGACGAGCGACTACACAGCCAAACAGTTGGTTGTCTATCTCAATATACCATATAACATTTATCTCGTATCATGGAGGTAGAATTATACCTCCATACTCGTATACAAGTGCTTCGTCGATAGAGGGCTCATGTACATTGGACCATGGAGCCCGTGATTGGACATGCACATATATTCACAATCAGCTGGCTTACAAATGATAATAAAATAAATAAATAAATACGATTAATTTAGCAATATTTACTATATAGGGTTGCCATCATGAAATGAGTATCACTTGTACGCCAGCTGTCTGTGCATGATCGATCAGCCGTTTAGAATATCGGGTAGAACCTGACCAGATTTTGTGAGACCCCCCCCCCCCCGACAACTGCATAGTTACCTGTATTTTACCTACAGACAGCTGGCGTGCAGACATTTGTTTTTAAAAAGGTCTTTCTATATTCAGTGTGAAAAACAGTACTTATAAGCGATTTGCGGTCTTGGATTATATACTAGTAATCTGAATAACATAGCTTTTACAAAGGTGGTAAAAAAGCACAAAGTAACACTTGTCCTGTCTACACCTTAATTTATGTTATATCACAGGGATCCCAGGAACTATAATCAACTGTAGTACACAGTCTCTATGAGCGGGGTGGGGG